CGAGGCCCACCCGGCGAGGGCTGCCGGCTCCGGCGGGAGAGCGGCCCTCTGCGCGCCCGCCTGGCTCGGCCGCGGCTCCTCCGCCTCCTCCTCGCGCTCTCAAAATGGCCGACGTCGAGTGTCACATCCGCATGGGCGCCCCGGCCGAGGCGGGCCGGTCCGGGCCCGCGCCAACGCCGCCACGACAGTCAAGGAGGCCCGCCGGCCCTCAGGCCCCGGGCCTCCGCCGTGCCGCGGGCTTGCCTGCCGCGCTTGCCTGACTGCCTGCCGGCTCGCCTTCCTCTCGGGCGGCCGGGTCGCTGGGCAGTGGGTAGCGGAGAAGGCGCGGAGGGAGCAGCCAGGAAGGAGCAGCAGCAGCGCCGCGGCCGCCCCGGGAACAGCAACCGACGCCGCCGCCGCTGCTGCTGCAGCCGCCGTGGAGGAGGAGCCGAGGGGGAGGGCGGTGCGCGCCCCCGTGAGGGGAGTCAGGGGCGAGGCGGGCTGGCAGACCCCCCCGCGTGCGCGCCCCCGCAGCCGGCCTTCTCCGACCTGCGCGAGGGTCCCCCCCCCACAGCCTCTGGTCTCTGTGTGTGAGTTTGGTGTATGTGTCGAGGTGGATTTGCCCCCTCCCCCCAGGAGGGCCTTCAGGGGCGAGAGGAGGGGTCCCACGGGAGTGACCCGGCATCCCCCCCAAAGTCTCCGACAAATTGGGGGCCAGAGGGTACAATGACTGCGCTGGCTGGTACAGAGCGAGTGATGGGGAGGATCGCCCACCACACTTTTCTTCTCTCTTTCCCTCCCCAATAAGTGCGACCCCTGCAGGTGGGCAGGACGTATTAAGGGGACAGGGGAGGGGGATGAGGAGAACAGGGTTCCCATTCCCCCACCCTCCCTTTGCCACCCCCCTCCCCTGGGCTTCTTTTCCCACCAAGCATGATGGTGTGGGGTTTGGTGGGAAGAAAAGCCCAGGGGAGGGTGGGGGCAAAGGGAGAGGGAGCGGGGACCCTGTTCCACTCATCCAGCTCCCCTGTCGCCTGTCCCCTTCCCACGTTCTTAGTCTTCAGGATAGAACTATTTTAGGAAGTCCTTGACATACGATGGATGATTGAGCCCCAAATTTCGGTTATTGAGTGGGACGTTTCTTAAGTAAGCTTAGCCTCATTTTACGACCTTTGTTGACACAGTTCTTAAGTGAATCACTGCACTTAGTAAAATAATTGTTAAGTGAATCCAGCTTCCTCATTGAGTTTGCTTGTCAGAAGGTCAATACAGGGGATAACATGACCCCATGACACTCCAGCTGTCATAAATACATGCCAGTTGCCAAGTATCTGAATTTTGATCATGAGGATGATGCAGTGGTTGTAAGGGTGAAAAATGACCCTAAGTCACTTTTTCCGTGCCGTTGTAACTTCAGACCATCACTAACTGTTGTAAGCCATGGGCTACCTGTACCACTATCATTGTTTCACTCTGGGCCTCTTTCAATTCCCTCTTGCAGTTTTTTGGGGGGGCTTTGGCATGAAAATTCCTCCGCTAATTTATGTAATGCAAAACACGGTACCAACATAAAATAAATTGCTGGGTTACAAAGAGAAAGCAAATTAATTTCCCTGTTGAGTCATCCTGGATCAGGTTTAAACCGTCCTTTGCAACCCACCAATTACTCTTTGATTGTTTTCCCACCCAAATCCAGCTCAAAACCTGTTACCGCCTTGCATGTGTGTGTACCCAAATACAGTACACATACACTGTTACCCATAAAGTTGGCTTAATCTGGAGATGTGTACCCTATATTTTGAAACGGCTGGTTCTAAGAATTTAACCAGTGAGATTGAGAAACTGATCTCTTGAGCATTGTTTCTCAACTTTGGCAACTACCATACAAGATGTTGGACTTCAACTCCCAGAATTCCCCAGCCAGCTATGTTTAGGCCAAAGGAGTAAAAAAATAAAGTGATATTTTCAAAAAGCAAGGATGGGCTCTCAGAATTGGGCTGCAAAAATCTGCACTACCATTGCAAAACTTAATCACTGCCATTTAATGATCATCTGGAATTTTTGTAGCTCAAATCTGGTATCCCTTTTTCTAGTGGAAGATAGCTACTCGTTACTTGAATACAAGAAACAATGAGAAAGAAAACTAGCGCACAGAGTTACAAAGAAAGAAAATATTACATTAAAAAAACAGGATGCAGTACATATATAAACATTCTAGATAAGGGTTTCGGTGAATAATAACCAAATTTCACTATAATCAGCCATAGCTGAGCTCTGCAAACAATTGAGTAACGAAATATAAGAACAAACCTTTCCAGCCTCTGCAGCCATGTAGATTTAAGCATTGACTTATCCTCTTTAGCATCTATAGCACTTAAGGATTTTTTTGCACCCCTTATGTAATTATTGGGAATGTGGGGATGGGAATTTGGATTTATTGTTCACCGCTACGGAGATACCTATTCTGAGAATACTGTACGGCACATTTTTCATTTGCCTTTATAATAATTACTCAGCAGAAAACAATTACCTGCTTATAAAGATAGAGAGTTTGTAGTATTTTTTTAAGCAGGGATCATCAAGAATTTCTTCATGCTTTTTCTTAGATGCTGTGTTTGGCACAACTTATATTGTGGAGATGCATTAAAGCAGCACTTTGCTGGGCTTTTCCATGGGAATGAGGCAGGGATCCAGGAGAGGAGTTGGGGAGGGAAAATCAATAAAATATGGAATTGGAGAAATGCAAGAAGATAAGCAGTTTGAGGATGTTGATAAAAATTGTGTGAGAGGGAAGAGAGAAAAATAGCATATAGGCTGGATTTATACAACGTGCTATGTTCAAATTATTATATTTTTAATTCCACTTTTTTTTTTTGCAGAAAGACAACTCTGGCAGCAAACATATCTAATACTCTTCCTCATATTTTCCCAACAACAAAAACCCTGAGGCTGAGAGAGAAGAGGGACTTGTCCCAAATCCCCCAGCTGTCATTCATGCCTAAAGCAGAACTAGAACTCCTTGTCTCCTAGTGATTGGCCCAAAGTCACCAAGCCAAGTCACCATGCCGGCTTTCGTGCCTGAGCGAGGCCAAGTCAAGATAATTTGTCTACTGGATAGCATGAACCCAGGCTGGTTGGTTATTTCAGTAAACCAAGCTGGTGCCTTACAGGGAGTCCTCAACTTATGACCACAACCGAGCCCCAAATCTCTGTTGTTAAGTGAGCTTTGACCCATTTTGCGACTTTCCTTGCCACAATTGTGAAAGGAATCACTACAGTTGTTACATTGGTGACAAAATTGTTAAGGGAATTTTAACAATAGCAAAAGGGATCACATGACAACCGGGACACTGCAACCATCTTACATATGTGTCAATTGCCAAGCATCTGAATTTGTATTCATGTGACCACAGGATGCTGCGATGGTTATAAGGCTGAAAAATGGCCATAAGTGACTTTTTCCGTGCCGTTGCAACTTTGAAAAGTCACTAAATGAATGATTGTAAGTTGAGAATGACCTGTATCATAACAGTTTAAAAATAGCATGCTCAGATGTTTATATAAGTGTGTTAGCTCTGACTGATTAACTTCATCATCTCACAGTAATGAAATGGTTATGCTGAAATTTGGGCCAAAGGTAAATCCAGTTAAAATGAATCCATTAAAAAGCAAGTGTTAAATTCATTCATAGGAGGGCAGAGCTACTACAATCCTAGGCTGCATTAACAGAGGAATAGAATCAAGATCACGTGAAGTATTAGGACCACTTTATAAAACCTTAGTAGGACCACATTTGGAATACACGATCCAGGTTTGATGACCACGATATAAATAAAATGTTGAGAAATGTGAAAAAAGTGCAGAAAAGAGCAACAAGGTAGGATGATTAAAGGCCTGGAGCAGTGGTGGGTTCCGGATCCCGTTCCAACCAGTATGGTTGGAACCGGCCCAGCATCGGCCATATGGACGTGCGCAGTGTGTGAGCACACATGCGCAGTGCGCGCATGCGTCGTACCGCTTCAGCAATGCTCCAGCTGCTAAGCAGAGATCGCGCAGACTCAGCAGACAGTGCGCGGAAGGGCCGAAGACTTAAAAGACCAGTAAGGAGCTCAGGCGGGCAGGTGGGCCCTCTGGAGCACCGTACTAGAATGGTATCTGGTACTCCGGGCAGGCTCCGGTACGCTCGTACCAGGGTGTACGGAGACTAAAACATGAAGAAGGGTTGCAGGATTTGGGTATGTCTAGTTTGATGAAAAGAAGGACTAGGGGGTGACATGGTAGCATTCTTCCAATATTTGAGGGGCTGCCACAAAGAAGAGGGAGTCAAACTATTCTCCAAAGCTCCAAAAACAAAGATGAAAAACAATGGATGGAAGCTAATTAAAGAGAGAAGCAACCTAGAACTAAGGAGAAATTTCCTGACAGAACAATTAATCAGTAGAACAGCTTGCCTTCAAATGCTCCATCACTGGAGGCTTTCAAGAAGAGACTGGACAGCCATTTGTCTGAAATGGCCTAGACTCTCCTACTTGAGTAGGGGATCAGACTAGATGACCTCCAAGGTCCCTTCCAACTCTGTTATTCTATGTTTGAATGAACCCCCCAAATGCATTTGCCTCCCTTGATGAGCTTCCAAATATTTGAGGGGAGATTTTCTCTTTCTGCAAGAGGGGGTGTTGCTAGTCCGTAAGCCTTAATTTGACATATGAGAGGGAATCTGCTGATGGAAGCGTTTGTTTTTATTTATTTTCTCTGAGAGGGCAAGGGCCGTCAATAGAGGGTGTGTGTATCAATTCAAGAGGATCCCAAAATAATCATCCTGTGAAGTTGATTGGTCAGATGATTGAGCCCAAATCCCCCCAAAAGACTCATCATTGAAGGTTACGCAGTTGAAGTTTCCCTCAGAGACAAAAAGTAGATTTGTCTCTCAGCCCAATCTATCTCACAAGATGGTTATTGTGAGGAAAATAAAAAATTGAGAACATGGTCCTTGCCACATTGAGTTGTACACAATAAAGGAGGGATACAAATCTAGTAAATAAAAATAAATAAACTTGTCATCTTCCTAGTCACAATGCAAAACCTTTATCTCTCCATTATAATGTCTAGAGCAGTGTTTCTCAACCTGGACAACTTTATGATGTGGACTTCAAGTCCCAGAATTCCCTAACCAGCCATGTTAGACCATGTTGGCTGGGAAATTCTGGGAGTTGAAGTCCACACATCTTAAAAATCAAGCATTTTTGTTGCTTAAACATCTGTTCCTCCACATTTATTTGAACTGAATTAGTTGTCCACTCTGCAACGCTTGTTATAAGCATAAGTGAAACCAGAGATAAAGATTTTCCCCCCCAATCCTGAAAAATCTGATATTTCACAAGCCAGAAGATTTTCTGGAATCAGTTTTTCTCTTTGTAACTTCTTGGATTGCTGATGTTCTGGGTCTCGTCATACATGTTAAATAACAAACCCTGATTAATAAACCACAGTGTGGGAGGGCCCACAAAACATGAAGCAAAACCACATTATGAACTTAGATTGGTTGGGGATTAGTCAAAGTGTTAGGTACAAAATCACAGTTCTCAGGATTCTGATGAAATATCCTTGAAATTTGAAAGATAATAAGTGCCTTTTCTAATATAGTTTACATGTTACTTTTCCCAGGCTATTTTTTTAAAAAAAAGAAAGAATTACTTGAGAGTATCCTTGTAAAATCCCAGTCATCTGCAGAGAGAGCCGTGTGGATCAGCTTCCCAAACATGAGTAAGTATCACTTTATTCTCCAGGAATGGATTCTCCTGCAAAAGGTTAGAAATATAAACCAAGTCACGCTTTAAGCTGCTCTCTTCCATTTCACATTCCTCCCAATAGCAATAGTACTTAAGACTTATATACTGCTTCACTGTGGTTTTACCGCACTCTCTAAGCGGTTTAGAGAGTCAGCCTCTTGCCCCTAACAATCTGGGTCCTCATTTTACTGAACTCGGAAGGATGGAAGGCTGAGTCCATCTTGAGCCGATCAGAATCAAACTCCTGGCAGTGCGCAGAGTCAGCCTGCAATACTGCATTCTAACCATTGTGCACCATGGATGGGTGGATGAATGGATGGAAGAGCGGAAGGAAGGAAGGAAGGAAGGAAGGAAGGAAGGAAGGAAGGAAGGAAGGAGAGAGAAAAGGAAGAACAATGACAATAGCACTTAGACTTATATACCACTTCACAGTGCTTTCCAGCCCCCTCTAAGCGGTTTACAGAGTCAACATATTTCCCCCCAGCAATCTGGGTCTTCGTTTTACCAACTTCGGAAGGATGGAAGGCTGAGTCAACCTTGAGCTGGTCAGGATTGAACTCCTGGCAGTGGGCAGAGTCAACCTGCAATACTGCATTCTAACCACTGTACCACCGCGGCTCCAACAGGAATGGCTGTTATTTTTAACTGAGTGATCATGATTTGATCGTGGTTCCCCACTTTCATTTCCAAGCCTCTGCTGCCTCCCTAATTGCTGAAAACTCAGGCCTTCTTACCCCTCATCCTATTCTGAATGCAAGAAGGGCCGTTCTCATCCTTGTGGTCGTTTTAAAAAAAGAAAGACAAATCCCTCTAAACTCACTGGGTCTAGGACTGTAATGGTAAACCTATGGCACACGTGTCACAGGTGGAATGCAGAGCCCTCTCTGTAGGCATGCCAGCCGTCGCCCCAGCTGAGCTCCACCATGCATGCGCGCAAGCCCCCCGCCGGCCAGCTTGTCTTCAGGTCTCTGCTTGCATGTGTGAGGGGCAGGGTGTGCACATGCACAGAGGGGCAGGGTGCATGTGCAGGGGGACTCTTGCATTGCATTTTTGGGCCTCACGCAATGTCTCCGCACTCCCTTTTGGCTTCCAGGTCAGTGCAGGAGGCCTCCCAGACCCAAAATGGGGCGGGGGCAGGGCACGCGCAGCTCTCCTGTGCCCCGTTTTGGGCCTGGAAAATCTCCTGCACCAACCTGGAAGCCAAAAATTGGTGAGGGGGGTGGGGCGGGGTGCATATGAGGGGGGATCACGGGGTCACACCTGCATGCATGGGTGGGTCACACACACATGCATAGGGCGGGGCACATGAGGGGGTCACACGCACAGTGCATTATGGGTGCAGCCGCACATGTGCTTTCAACACACAATGGCAAAAAGTTAGCCATCACTGTTCTAGGACAACTCTCCGTGGCCAACTTGCAACACCAACTCACCACCGGACAATTTGCTGTGGGACAAGAGTTACACTGACATGGAAGAAATGGTAGAATAGAATCATTAAAATTGTTTTAAATAATTAAAGTGAATTATTGAATTGTCCTGCGTCAAGGTGTCCCATGGCAGGTTGGCCATGGTGAGTTGTCTGCGGTGAGTTGGCAGCGGCAAGTTGTCCCATTCCAAAACGCACCATCCTCCATCTACCAAACTAAAGAAAACCTGGGATTTGGCCATGACCCTGCCATGGCCCTCAGCATTGTGTTCCTCGAAAAGCCCCAGGCACTGAATCCATTCTAACAGTGAATGGCGATGGGATCCTTCAGGTTTCAACAACCCTGTCATCATCACCCCCCTAAAATCACCCCATAAAAGGCCATGTTTTTGTACCACCCAGAATTAAGCCGCCATCGAATGCACATCTGAAGCATTGGCAGCTGTGCTTTGTAGGGCTCCTTCTGGACTTCATCTTGTTTACTCGGTGTTTGCACAAGATGTTGCTGTTAACCAAGATATATTTTATAGACTTAAGCCACTCCACAGCCTTGGAGGCACAATATTTGTTTTGGGACTAGTGGGTTTCAAAATTTTTTAGAACCTCTTCTGTAGGTGTGGCCTGCTTTATGGGAGTGTCTTGCCAGCCATGTGACTGAGTGGGAGTAGCTTGCTGGGGGGCATGGCCAACTTGTAAAATGTGGTGAACCTCACTTAACAACGCTCTTGCTTAGCAACCAAAATGTTGGCTC